AGTGGGGAGGGTCTGTGGGAGCACTGGGATGGCACTGGGAGGGTACTGGGAGGTATTGGAGAGCACTAAGAGGGTATCTGGGGACACTGGGAGCGATGGGGTGGCACTGGGAGCATTGGGGAGGGTCACTGGGAGCCCTGGGAGGGCACTGGAAGCACTGGAATAGCACTGGGAGAACTGGGGAGGGTCTCTGGGAACTCTAGGAGCACTGGAAGGGCACTGGGAGCACTGGGGATGGTCTCCAGGAGAACTGGGAGCACTGGGAAGGCACTGGGAGCACTGGGGATGGTCTGCAGGAGAACTGGGGGCACTGGGAGCACTGAGTGGGGAGGGTCTGTGGGAGCACTGGGATGGCACTGGGAGGGTACTGGGAGGTATTGGAGAGCACTAAGAGGGTATCTGGGGACACTGGGAGCGATGGGGTGGCACTGGGAGCATTGGGGAGGGTCACTGGGAGCCCTGGGAGGGCACTGGAAGCACTGGAATAGCACTGGGAGAACTGGGGAGGGTCTCTGGGAACTCTAGGAGCACTGGAAGGGCACTGGGAGCACTGGGAAGGGTCTCTAGGAGCACTGGGATGGCACTGGGGAGGGTCTCTGGGAGCACTGGGATGGCTCCGGGAGCACTAGGGAGGGTCTGTGGGAGAACTGGGAGAACTGGGAGGGCTCTGGGAAGGCACTGGGGATGGTCTCCAGGAGAACTGGGAGCACTGGGAAGGCACTGGGAGCACTGGGGATGGTCTGCAGGAGACCTGGGAGCACTGGGAGGGTCTCTAGGAGACCTGGGAGCACTGGGAAGCCACTGGAGTGGCACTGGGAGCACTGGGAAGGGTCTCTGGGAGTACTAGGAACACTGGGGTGGCACTGGGAGCACTGAGGAGGGTCTCTGGGAGCACTGGGACCGCACTGGGAGCACTGGGGAGGGTCACTGGGAGCACTGGGATGGCACTGGGAGCACTGGGAGGGTACTGGGAGGTATTGGGGAGCCCTAAGAGGGTATCTGGGGGCACTAGGAGCACTGGGACGGCACTGGGAGCACTGGGGAGGGTCACTGGGAGCACTGGGATGGCACTGGGAGCACTGGGAGGGTACTGGGAGGTATTGGGGAGCCCTAAGAGGGTATCTGGGGGCACTAGGAGCACTGGGACGGCACTGGGAGCACTGGGGAGGGTCACTGGGAGCACTGGGATGGCACTGGGAGCACTGGGAGGGTACTGGGAGGTATTGGGGAGCCCTAAGAGGGTATCTGGGGGCACTAGGAGCACTGGGACGGCAC